GGAAAGTTTTCCAGAAATGGTCAGTTAGAATTTGACAGTGCCTCCATCTTCTTCGCCCAAGAACCTCTGGGTTGTCATAGACGACTTGTGGCAGCGAAGCATCCCGTTGCCCCATGAGGAGATAGTTAGGGGTAACAGGATCAGGATCTGCTACTTCAGACGAGGTGTAGTCCAGGGGTTTTGAATTGAGCATCCCTTCAATTTCAATCAGAACAGTGTGTAACACCTCCTCAGTGACAGTCTGGGCCCCAATGATAACTTGAAGAGCAGTCTTTAGTGAGCGGATTTCACGATCCCAACAGCCTCCGAAGTGTGGGGATCCAGGAGGGTTGAAGGCAAACTTGACTTGCTGGCAAGCTAGCTGCTCTTTGAGGTTAGGATGAAGTGCTTGAAATGCTTCCTGCAACTCACGTTCTCCTCCTCTGAAGTTTGTCCCCTGGTCACAGAGAATCTCCTTGGGTTTCCCACGCCTGGCTATGAAGTGTCTCAGAGACATTAAAAAGGCATCTGTGTCCATACTGGGAATCAAGTCAAGGTGGACTGCTCTTGTAGTTAGACATTTAAACAATATTCCCCATCTCTTCTCGTTACTGCGTCTGATCTTGATGGTGTATGGCCCAAAACAATCCACACCCATGGAGTAGAATGCCGGCTTGAACAGACGCAGTCTGACTGGAGGGAGGTCCGCCATCCTGGGTGGGTTGGGGTGACCTTTCCACCTCTTGCACTCAACACAGGATCTCTGATGGCGGCGTACTGCTTCACGTCCACATAATACCCAGTATCTCCTTCTGATCTCAGCAAACACCCTTTCTGACCTGGAATGCTGGAGCTTACCATCATAATCCTGTATGATGAGTTGGGTCAGAGCGTGTCTGGAGTCCAGAACAATGGGGTGCACTTCATCTACAGTCAGGTCAGGGTTGTGGCGCAAATGGCCTCCTACTCTGATGAGTTCTGTTTTCTCATCAAACTCAGGTGCAAGTAGAAGAAGGCAACTGGATTTGGCAATGGATTTGCCAGCCTTTAACTGAGTGATTTCCTTCAGGAATGACTCTCTTTGGGCTCGTTGTAGAGCTTCTAGTTCAGCGGCAGCATAGGAATCAGCAGTGAGAGGGTGGTTGGAGTCAGCCGCCCCGTGAAGCTGATGTGCGGTGGCCTCTAAGAAGCTATCCCAAGTCTGGTACTGGCGAGGATCTGGAACACTAGAGCTAGATGTAGTTAGACAAACAACTTGTCATTTCAGCTCACCTTCAGAATCACTCTGGGGTGGTGGTGGTAGATCAGGCCAGTCACTTGGAGCCAGTTTCAGGAATTCAGGTTCATCTGTCCATCTACTGCCTTTGCTGATATCTTGAATAGTGAGGCCACGAGTGATATTGTCTGCTGGGTTGTCTTGTGAGGGCACATACCTCCATGTGGCTGCTTCTGTCAGTTCTTGTATTTCTGCCACACGAGTACCCACAAAGACCTTGTATCAGCAGGATTCTGAACCCAACCAGGTTAGGACAGTGGTTGAGTCAGACCACAAGGTGCAGCTGTGTATGGGAAGGGTTAACTCAGTGCTGATGACCTTGTAGAGTTGAGCACCTGTTAGAACAGCACACAACTCTAGCCAAGGAACAGATTGTTGCTTCTTTGGGGCAACACGAGACCGAGCTGTGATGAAGGTGACCTCAGCTTCTCCCTCTGGACTCTCTGTCTTCAGATAAGCTACTGAACAATGTGCCTGTTCAGAGGCATCACAGAACACATGGATGTCTCTCTTACAGTTGTGTTGGTCCAGGCTGGGACTGGTGTAGCACCTAGGCAACGTGATCTTGTGCAACTGTGCCAGCTCTGCTTCCCATGCATACCACTTCTGCAGCAGCTTCTCAGGGAGTTGTGGGTCATCCCAGTCCCTCTTTTTCGCCCACAGGTGGCACACAATAACTTTGGCTCGGGTGGTATAAGGCACTATGTATCCAAGAGGGTCATACTGGCTAGCTAAAACTCTATAGATGTTCCTCATAGTAGCCACTGAGCAACTGATGTGTCTGTGTTTGTAAGTGAGGGTGTCAGACTTACAATTCCAGTGCAGTCCGAGGGCGGGCTCTTGGATGTCGGACTGATCTTGACTGAGCCACAACTCACAGCTGGATGACCTGAGGTCTGGAGGAAGATGGTGGATGACATCTGGCTCATTACTTGCCCACTGCTTCAGTTCGAATACCCCGTCAGCCAGAAGGTGGCGCAGTTTGTCAATAAGTGTCTTGGCAGCTGCTGGACATGTGAAACTCTGTAAACAGTTATCCACATAAAAGGATTTGTTAATGGCAACACGCACGTCTTCTTCTGGTTGGCTGTTGTCCGTGACATGTTTCTGCAATGTGAACGTTGCACAACAAGGGCTGCAAGTAGTTCCAAAGGGAAGCACTTGCCACTCGTAAACATCAGGGGGATTGTCTCGCTTCATGTCCCGCCATACAAACCGCAACAGAGGTCGATCTGAAGGTAGGAGCCTCACTTGTTGGAACATACCACGGATATCACTGCTGAAGGCCAAAGTATGAAGTATAGTAGAACTGCTAGTAAGGCAGGGCCGAGATTGGGGCCTGGTTGGAGGAGCTGGTTCAGAATGTAGCCTTGGTATTGGAATGAGCAGTTGTACACTACTCGGTTCTTTCCATTATGTTGAACCATATGATGGGGATATACCAAGCTTCACCACTGGTCTCCAACTGGTGCTCCACTGGTTTCACTACATAGCCAGATTCTACAAGCTTATCAATCTCCCTTTGGTAGGTAGCAGCTTGTTCTGGCGATTTGGTTAAGCGCTTCTCTATGCCTCTCAGGAGAGGCAAAACTGCTTCTGGAGTGGCTTTCAGGAGAGGCATGTTCTTGACTCGAAGAAGGGGCGTGACATAACGCTCAACACCCTTGACATTTACTCTGACTGTCTGTTCTTGCAGGAGTCTGACTGCCTCTTGGTCTTGTCGTGATCTAACCGCTAACTTCTCACTGCGGTTAGGGAGCACATCCATCTGTCATAACCTTTCGACACATGAGAGCAGCTCTGTGGGTGATGGTGCAGATGTGAAGAGGCAGTGACTTATGTTAGTGATCGACTCAATGGCTTGAGCTGGCCCCTGTAGCGTCCATCCGAGGAGCGTCTTAACAGCTGCTGATCCACTAGGTGATCCTAGTCTGAATGGCTCTATAGGTGTAATGAGGTGTGTATAGTCGGCACCAATTAGCAACATGGGACAGACTCTGTTTAGAGGAGGGAGGGGCAAACCAGACAGATGTTTATACTTCTGCTGGAGTGAGGCAATTGGATGGGAGTGCTCTGCTAGACTCAGTTGCTTGGCTGTAAATGCATTCTGGATACTGTACATCTTGTCAGGATTGGCTGCTGGAGAAATTGTGAAAGACACGGCCGCCCAGTGAAGCTTCTCCACTTCTTGTCTGACTGTACGAAGAGCTAAGACCTCTTTACTTCCTTTAAGGCCCAACTGTTTGGTAGCTGACTGGAGCAGTATTGTCTGCTCAGATCCATCGTCTAAGACGGCATATGTCTCAAGGGACTTGTCACCATTCCTCAGAAGCACCTTACTGATCTTCAGTAACACCTTGCAGTTGTAGACTGGACGGTCGACGTACATGACTTTATTGACAGTGTTAACAAGGCAGCTTTCTGCTGAAGGTGGAGCTGATGCTTGTTCCTCTTCTGCCCTTTCATTCACCTCATGCAGCACTAACAGATGCCTCCTACCACAGGTCTTGCAGGGAGCTTTAAGTGTACACTTTTCAGCTTAGTGATTACGTCCGCAACGCCAACACTTATTATTCACTTCAACCCATGTCACCTTTTGTTCTTTGCTCAAGTTCTTAAAGTTAGAACAGTTGTTCAGGAAGTGCTTGTCGTTATCACAATATGGACAGTAGGCCGTTACCTTCTCTACTCCCTTTGACCTGTTAGGAGGATGTCCAGGTGCAGATGGTGCTGCTACATTGCTTGATCCTGAAACCTTCTCAGTGCCCAGGAGGATGGTAGCAGTCTTACTTGAGGGTTTGGGAGTGTGCTTGGTATCAGGCTTCTTGTTAAACAACTCCTCTCTCTTGGGGGGCTTCATGCTGTCTTCCTGAACTTCTAGCTCGTATTCTAGCCAATCAGCAAAGTCAACGAGGGAGGGGATGGCCACTCTCAGGGGATGGATAAATCTCTTAAAGCTGGCATTGAGATCATAGGGAAGTTTACTTAAGAGCCTTGAAACATGAGAGCCGCAGATTAACTCAACTTGGCCTCTTTGCCCCAGTTGTTCTAACATACCTACTAGTGACCGCACATTGAGGGCAAATAGACGAAAGCTCTTAACATCACAGCTGCGTATATTTGGACCATCCATTAACTCAGCAATCCGTTGCACTGCAAGCTTGTGGGGCTGTCCATACATCTTGGTGAGAGCCATCATTGTATCTGTGTAAGGTTGCCTTGAGTTGCAATAGGAGTCTGCTACAAGTGAAGCTTCTTCACATTGGAGATGATCTGTGAGGATCTGGTACTTGTATCTTTCAGTGGCATCATCTGGTAATAGGTTCTCTAAGGCAATCTTCATGCGTGCAAACTCCCGGGGGTCTGGTGATGTAAGGCGGGCAATAGTGGGCTTTGGCCCCCTATATGTGGTTTCTCTCAGTGGCTCATTAAAGTAGAGTGCTTGGAAAAATGAAAGATCTCTACCTGAATAAGGAGGTGCACTTTGCTGGGGTGTGGCTGCATAGTATGGGTTATAAGGCAAACCACTGGATGGTTGGGAAACTCTGCATTGAGTGAAATCTTGTGGCAGGTGTAGTGAACTAGACCTCCGACATCAATCTGTCTCTGAAGACCTTCAGGGGACAGGAACTGTTATTTCATTGATTTGAATCCAGAAATACAAATTATCTCATCAAGAGACTATTTAATTGTATCCTGAATTAATCAATTGACAATATCTTGATAATCAAAAGTGTGTTTAGTTCATACCATTTCTAATGTTGAAGTAAACCACTCAATTAAATCAACTGTGAAACAGTATAAATGATTTTTAAACCTCATTAGACTTAGATCATACAAGTTAAATGTCTATTTACGAAGTAAGTGTGCATTTACTCTTCTGTCTGTGTGAGGAGTGGACTTGATGTCGGTCAAAAGTCAGAAGACAAGTTATGAGAACGAAGTGCCTTGTTTTAAAACTCTCAGACAGTAAATAAGAACTGGCTGGCACCTGCTGTCTCACTTCAAAATATTTTCATGTCTGTACTAACCGTTCTTAAAAACATTTCTGCTGTCTGCTGACTCCTAATAACCCTCTGACATCACTAAAACTACACCCCTGCTGGTTGTTTCAGCCAATCAGGAAGTACCAAGTGACAGGAAGTGGATACCCTTTAAAAGTCAACACTTCTTGGAACTATTCAGTCTTCCCAGTCTTCCTGGAACGTTCAGTCGAAGATGAGACTCGGTCTGATGGCGAGTCATACAGGAACTTTCAGTTCTTACTGAAAGTTCCTGTATGGATGAGGAAAGATGGCGGGGATGGAGGAAAGATGGCGGCGCGCATGGTTGCAGCGGCTCACAACTCTCCCTTTCAGTGCTTTTTAATGTTATTTTTGTACATCCTTTTTTCTTGTGTTTGCATTGCCGAGTTTGCAAACATCAACTATGGACGTCAGACCCTTTTGGACATCGGTGAGCAGTACCAAATACCTGTTTCGAGTGACTTTCATTACACGCACAACATCCCAGACGACATAGCGAGATCACCGGGCTCTCCGTGGATTGTTGTCGGGCCTGGGAGGCGGCGCAGACGAAGAAGGGAGAGGAAGCAGAAGTGAGGCTGCAGGTCTGGCGTTATGCTAAGGCTAAGATCACAACCCCACAAGCCACCTCTACCGAGCCTTTATCTCTCTAATGCCAGATCCCTGGTGCATAAAACAGATTATTTGGAATTGTAACTCGCTGGAAATCGCTATATTCATGACTGCTGTGTTCTGATTATCACCGAAACCTGGCTTCACTCAGGGATACCCGATGCTAGCATATAGCTAGCAGGCCGCTCTCTGCTTTGCTGGGACAGGACTGTGGACTCCGGTAAGAGCAGAGGTGGGGGGCTCTGTATTTATGTGCATGAGAACTGGTGTAATAACGGGACAATTATAGACAATCATTGTTCCCCAGACCTTGAGTACATGTCCGTAAGATGCCGACCTTTTTTTCTACCGAGAGAGCTAACAGTTGTGATAATTACTGCTGTGTATATACCACCCGATGCTTATGTAAATACGGCTCTCTCTCTCCTGCTGAACACCATCAATGAACAGCAGCAGGCTCACCCCGACGGTGTTCATATAATTGCAGGAGATTTCAATAGGGCTAATCTGAAGACTGTACTCCCAAAATTCTACCAGCATGTTAAGTGTTCTACTAGGGGGGAGAACACTCTGGACCGTGTTTACTCGAACATTAAACATGCATACAGAGCCATACCCCTCCCCCACCTCGGGCAGTCAGACCATCTTTCCCTCCTGCTCCACCCAGCTTACACTCCCCTCAGACGCAGAACAAGGCCTACAACAAAAACTGTTACAACCTGGCCTGGTAATGCACTCGATGACCTACAGGACTGTTTTGAACAAACTAACTGGGACTTATTTGAACATCAGGAAATGAAAACATACACAGGAACAGTACTGGACTACATCAACTTCTGCATCGGAAATGTGACTATGGTCAAAAACATTTGTGTTTACCCCAACCAGAAAACATGGATGACCAGCCAGGTTCACACACTCCTCAGAGCCCGCGACGCTGCCTTCAGGTCAGGTGACAGAGCTCTGTACCGAGCTGCTCAAGCCAACCTGAATAAGGGAATAAAAACCGCAAAGGCTGACCATAAAAGGAGTATAGAGTCCCATCTGTCCAGTAACAACTCACGGGAGGTGTGGAAGTGCATAAAAAACATCACAAACTATAGAGGCTGTGAGGTGACAACAGGAGACCTGAGTGCATCACTAGCAGAGGAGCTAAACTGCTTCTTTGCACGCTTTGATGCACCACAGCAGCACCCATCTGATCCTGCCCTGCCCCCACACCCACCCGGTTACTGCACCACTCCACTCACTGTACGGGAGCATGATGTTAGACGTTCCCTCCAATCAGTGAACCCCAGGAAAGCTACTGGCCCAGATGAAGTACCTGGCAGGGTGTTCAAAGCATGTGCCCTCCAGCTCGCCCCCACCTTCACCAGAATTTTCAATCTCTCCCTGGCCCAGGCAGTCATCCCTCCCTGCTTAAAATCTGCAACCATCATCCCAGTGCCGAAAACGCCTACCATCACCAGCCTGAATGATTACCGACCGGTGGCTCTCACCCCGGTAATCATGAAGTGCTTTGAGAGGCTGGTTCTCCAGCACATCATGGACTATCTCCCTCCGAACTTTGACCCCTACCAGTTTGCATATCGCACCAACAGGTCCACAGAGGATGCTATTGCAGTAGCTCTCCACACCGCGCTGAGCCACCTGGAACAACAGCACAGCTATGTTCGAATGCTCTTTGTGGATTACAGCTCGGCCTTTAACACAATCATTCCGGACATTCTTATAAATACATTGGACAATCTCGGCCTCCCCCCACACATGCGCCTGGATGAAAGACTTCCTAACCAATCGGCCCCAATCTGTAAGACTTGGTCCCCACCTCTCCTCCACTCGTACGCTGAGCACTGGCTCCCCACAGGGCTGTGTGCTGAGCCCCCTGCTGTACTGTCTCTACACCTATGACTGCAGCCCGGCCCACAACAACAACCTCATCGTCAAGTTCGCTGATGACACCACAGTGGTCGGACAAATCTCTAAGGGAGATGAGACATTTTACAGACAGGAGGTCCTGGAGCTAGCAATCTGGTGCTCAGAGAAAAATCTGGCTCTGAATATCAAATAAACCAAGGAGGTAATTATTGATTTCAGGAAGCACAGCACCAACCTAGCCCCCCTTTACATCAATGGCGAGTGTGTGGAGAGGGTTCACACTTTCAGATTTCTTGGTGTCCATATCTCTGCTGACCTAAACTGGAAAGAGAACACCACAGCAGTCATCAAGAAGGCTCAGCAGAGACTACACTTCTTAATAGTCCTTAAGAAGCACAACCTGAACACAAAATTGCTGCTGACCTTCTACCACTCGTCCATCGAGAGCCTGCTGACATACTGTATCTCAGTATGGTACGGCAGCTGCACCCTGGCTGACAGGGAGAGGCTTCAGAGAGTAGTCAAGACAGCACAAAAGATAATTGGCTGCCCTCTCCCCTCCCTGATGGACATTTACACATCACGCTGCCTCAACAGAGCAGAAAACATAATCATGGACTGTTCCCACCCGAGTTTTGAACTGTTTGACTTGTTACCTTCAGGGAAGCGCTACAGGTGCATCAGAACACGAACAAACAGATTCAAGAACAGTTTTTTCCCGAAAGCCATCACCACACTGAACTCACACATGCACTGAT